CCCAGAGAAACCCCAGATCAGATGCATAGGACCCTCCCCAGAGAAACTCCAGATCAGATGCATAGGACCCTCCCCAGAGAAACTTTAGATCAAATGCATAGGACCCTCCCCAGAGAAACTCCAGATCAAACAACCCAGTGCCTCTGGCAACTCAAAGTTACGTCTCCAGTCAGTTCACATGTCAGAGTTGGAGAGATGGCTCAGAGGTTAAGAGCACTGGCTCCTCTCCTAGAAGTCCTGAGTTCAATTCCCAGTACCTACATGGTGGCTCACAGCCATCTGTAATGAGATCTAGTCCCCTTTTATGGCCTGCAGGAATACACACAGGCAGAACTCTGTATACATAATAAATAAGTCTTTTTTAAAAAGAAAAGAAGAGAAAGTGGTTCACATGTGTAATTTTACTACTTAGAAGGTGGAGGCAGGAGTATCTCCAGCTGTGGAGTATGAGACCCCTGTGGAAACACAGGAAAGCTGCCTTCCCTCCACAGCACTGAGTGTGGTGGCTGGGCCATCAGATGGACTGATTCCAAATGGGAAAGGAGCAGCCCACCACAGGTTCTCTCCGGACCTGCAACACAGTTTTCCCATCTGTGAAGAGGGATGATACCAAGCTTGGACAGGCCTGCTGCTTGTCCAAACACATACCTGCCTTCCCACCGGCCCCAGATCCCAGGGAACAGCACACAAGAGAGAGGGAGGAACGAAACCGTAGCCATACCAGGAGACTGAAAAACGGATGAAACCGTCAAGCCTGTCAATGATTTGGCCATCAGCCATTCCCTCTAGAATTCTTAGAATAGTCCTTGCTTAGAATAGTCCTTTGATGCCTACCGACTTCAGCTTTACAGAAGGAAAGCATCCCCGAGAGCTTGAGCCACTGTCCTGAATTACACCCCAACGGAAGAGCTCTACCCAGCACCTTGTACCCATTAGACAGTCACAAAAGCAACACTCCTGATTGCGCAGCTCTGTCCTTCAGCCTCCACCCTCTCCGCAGGGCTGGGAACTCACACTTTTCGGTCATTCAGCAACATCCCGTTCATGGTGTTGATGGCCTTCTGGGCAGCCTCGTGAGTCTCAAAGTGTACGAAGCCGAACCCCCGTGATCCGTGTTCGTTATATACTACCTGGGTCACAGGGAAGAATGACAGAGAGACCACTCAGCATCGACTTCAGGGAGCAAAGGAAGACCAGCATACGGATGTTTGTTGGTGAGCATAAAAGACAGTTATGTAGATGGAGCTCAATGACAGGCTATGCCAGCAGCCACTAGACCTTGGGTTCCACCTGGGGGAAGTCCGAGACTTAACCTCTTCACAGCCCCAGTTTAGAATGGGAGGATGGAAGTTTAGAGGGACTCGCTTGAGGTGACAGCATAAGGAGGAATGGATTTGGGATTTCAACCCCACAGCTGTCCCCGAATTCTGATAGCAAACTGGGGATGCTGTGAACATCCCAGGAGGCCAGCTGTAGAAGCTGCCTGGTCTACTGCTGGCAACAGGCTGAAGAGAAGGTGGTGGGTTGTGAGGCTGATAGTTATTTGAAAGAGATACCAGGCGGTGGTTGCGCTCAACTTTAATCCCAGCACTCGGGAGGCAGAGACATGTAGCTCTCTGTGAGTTTGAGGCCAGCCTGGTCTACAGAATGAGTTCCAGGACAGCTAGGGCTACACACAGAGAAACCCTGTCTCGAAACCCTCACCCCACCAAAAAAAAGGGGGGGGGTGGGCAGAAAGTCTATTTGGAGTAAAGTGGGATCTACAAGTAGGAAGTTTTGAAACACATGTGCACACACGTACGTAGTACGTACACATACACCCTTGTTTTAGTTGACTTTTGTTTGGGAGATTTTTGAGACAGAATATTGCTCTTTAGTCCAGACTGAAATCCCTCTGACCTCAATTTTACAAGTGCTAGATTACAAGTGTGTGCCCCTGTACCCACCTCACAAAACTATTGATGGTGATTACTTCTGGTGACCAGGGGTGGGAAGTATTTAGTTTATTCTCTTCTATATTGCTTATTGGGTTTTTTGGGCTTGTTTTTATTTTGTTTTGTTTTGTTTTATGGTGGGGTGGTTCAAGAAGGGTTATTCTGTGAAACAGCCCTAGCTGTCCTGGAACTGGAACTCACTCTGCAGACCAGGCTGGCCTTGAACTCACAGAGATCCACCTGCCTCTGCACTTTTGCATACTGGGATTAAAGACATGCACCACCATGCCAGGTCCTATGTTTGAATTTTACCAATTCCTATACTATTCTAACAGCAAACTCACCTCCATGTTGCAACAGAACATTCCATGCCTGCTCTGTAATGCATCTGGTTCAAGTTGAGAGGGCAGAAATGGAGAACAAAAACATATCTAGAGTTCAGATGGTTCTCGGCTCTTGATGAACTTGAATTAAGGACTTAGGTCCCATTTCTAAGGTCATCATGACCCCAATTTCACAGAAGCACCACCTGGCTCAGTTCAGTGCCACCGTCTACCCTTTCATCTCCATACCAGTTGCTGGGCTGCTCTTCCTAAAACTCAACTGTGACTAGGTCCTTTAACCACCAATGGCTTCAGCCATGCACAGAAGTCTGTCAGCTTGGCAGGTTGAGGCTCCTCTGACGGGCCCTGCACAATAAATCCTGCATCCAAAGCATTGCTCAAGAGTTGGGGAGATGGTTCTGTGGCTATGAGTACTGCTCATTCAGAGGCCCTAGGTTTAATCCCTTATTGGAGAGTTCCAGGTCTAGAGGCTCCAACGCCCGCTTCTGGCCTCTAAGGGTACTGCTTGCACATAGTGCCCATAGAGACAAGCAGACACAAACACATATACATAAATAAATACAGTCCTCAGTCTCATACCCATCACACACTTCTCTACCTCTCCACCCCTAAGCATGGACATTTCACTTTTAATTCAAGGTCTTCAGACTCAACCACGCTGACTCCCACCCCCACACCCTGGATCCACCATTGCTGAGATATATACTTATCTTGTTACATGTTCCGGAAAACCCTTTCCAGGTAATTCTTAACTTCCGAACCCCGGAGAGAAAATGAGAACAAATGACCGGTCCAAGGTCAACCACTCAATAGCAATTTCCTGATTATCACACGTTCACTTAGATGTCTCATGTCCCAGGTACCTTTCCATAGGTGGCACGTATCTCCCTGCAGCCCTATGAAGGGAGTTCTACCACGGCCCCTTTTTGAGGAAGTCAAAGTAGGTGCAGGGTACACCGTCAGGAAATGAAAGCATTTGAACTCAGGACATCTGGCCTCGAAACTCCTCTTTCTGGCCCGGTATATTATGTTGCCTTGCTGCTATGCACTTAGGTGATTCAGATCATGTGTTCTTCCCATGGTGCCATTGAACTCTTTCTCGATTGGCCTAATGGCTCCCTCCATTCTGGGCCCCTGATTCTATGAGAACCTCGGGCTTCCCTCTGAGTGCATTTCCAGTTATTCCTACCAGTTCCATCTGAACTCCCTGGAGTGGAGATAGGGATCTCATTGTAAGCCTTGTTCCCAACTGAGCCCACAGCAGGGCTTCCTAAAGCCTCAAAAGACTTGCTTGTGCCACACAAAGCTTGCTCTCCAGTCTTGAGTGGCCCAGAGGATTTAAGGTCTGAAGAAGAGGGAAAGACATACTTCCCCCCTGCTCAGTTCGCTTCAGCTAATATGGTAAATTTGAATCCATTAGTTCAAATTGACTCTAAAGCCAGGCACGGTGGTGCATAGAGGTGACCTCAGCATTCCAGAAGACTGTGGGGGCAGGAGGGCTGGCTGCTTTGACTTTGAAGGAGACCAAACTATATAATCATAGAAACTCAAGGCCAGCCAGGATTATGTAAGACCTTGTCTCAAAAAGCAAAACAATAACAAAAATCAAAAACCAGCTGGGCAGTGGTGGCACATGTCTTTAAGCACTCAGGAGGCAGAGGCAGGTGGATATCTGTGAGTTCAAGACCAGCCTGGTCTACAAAGTGAGTTCCAGGACAGCCAGGGCTGTTACACAGAGAAACCCTGTCTCAAAAAACAAAAATAAAAAATTTAAAAAAAACACCAGGCAGTGGTGACACATTAATCCCAGTACTCAGAAAGCAGAGGCATGTGGATTTCTGAGCTTGAGGTCAATCTGGTGTACAGAGTGAGTTCCAAGACAGTCAGGGCTACACAAGGAAACAGTGTATCAGAAAACAAAACAAACAAAACAACCCTTAAAATAAAACAAAGAAACAACATCAAAAACGAAAAACCAAACAACCCACAAAATCAAACCCAAAACTTTTAAAGATTTACTTATTATGTATACAATGTGTTGTCATGTATGTCTGTGTGCCAGAAGAGGGCGCCAGATCTCATTACAGATGGTTGTGAGCCACCATGTGGTTGCTGGGAATTGAAATCAGAACCTCTGGAAGAACAGCCAGGGCTCTTAGATGCTGAGCCATCTCTCCAGTCCCCAAAGCTTTTACTGTTAACCCCCATCCATGTGCTGCACTGAACTGCAAGCTGCTCCGAACCTCTGTGGCCTCGAGCAAAATTTGGGAATCCTCCTGGGGACCCCTGAAGGGGTGATAGGGAGGAATCCAGAGTGGCTCCAGAGGCAGACAGCTAAGCACATAGAAAGATAATCTTCTGACAGCATGTAAGAACTTACCGCACGGTTAAACTTCTTCCTCCCATTGGCTGTCAAAGCAAGGAGCTGTCCTCTCTCTCAGTACAGTACACACCTCAGGCTGTGGTCAGTCTACTCCTTTGAGTGGTAGACGGGCCCTACTCAGAAGGACGGTGGGAGGGCCCAGCTTCTCAGGGACTATAGCTGGCTCATAACAGTTTTCTGGAAAGGCTCAAACCCAGAGATCATGGTACCTCTGCCTTTGCCCCCCTAGAGACCTCTGGAGATCTCACTGGCCATTCTCGGTAACATCCGGGGCATAACACCCAGGTTTTAGCCCTCTACTCGGAACACACGGACCTGCTGTCAAGTCAGAGAACTATGCCGAACCCTGCAAAAGCCGTAATCCATCTGGTACTTACTGCACGTCATGATGGGGAGAGTTCGGCCTGCTCGTGCTTGCAGGAAGCTGAACACAAGACAGACTCGGTGACACAGCCATGATGAGAAATAATACCGCCACTCAGGTGGACTTTATGTTCTAATAGAAGAAATATCTTAAAAACAAGTCATGGTGGGGGCTGGCCATGACACACTTCATCTCCAGCAGCAAGGGAAGCCCGAAGCAAGATGTGCCTGCTGGTTGCTGCAGTGTCCCCAGTTAATACCTTTATTATAACAACCATATACTTAATTCTGTTTTGTGGTTGTTAACTAATGCTCACTTGAATGTGGATTGGTCTGGGACTGGCTTTGGTCTCTAGGGAGCAGTAGGAAGAAAGGTGGTCCCAATTCTGAGTTGAAGCTACAGGTAGCCTGTGAATTTTTACTCCCAGCTGTCTGAGACCCGACACAGCTGTAAGAAAGACCTGGGCTAGCCTGCAGGAGCACGGAAGACCACATAAATCCCAGAGGAAATCCCAGATGTTTCAACTGACAGCAGGCCAAGCCCACATAAACTAAATAAACTGTATGGGGTGATTATCTCAGGAGCTGGCTACCGGGCATGGGGGCGACCTCTAGTGGTCTTAAGAAGATAAAACCATGAACAGCTACCAGCCAAGTGCTTGCTGTACCCACAGCCTGCGGGGTACCGGTGGGTATCCCTCTAACACAGAGGTATCTGATGCCAACTGACTCTCCTAGAGGGGCACACCCACCTTAGAAGAGAGGATGCTCCCAAAGGTGGAGAAGGTGTCATAGAGAGCCTTGTTATCAATGGAATTCTCCAAGTTTTTGATAAAGATGTTGCCCATACCAGACTTTCGAAGCCCTGGGTCTCGGTGGGACCACATGATACGGATGGGTTGGCCTTTGATCATCTCAAAGTTCATTGTGTCCAGTGCCCGTTCCGCTGGGGAGAAGGCAAGGAGAAAAAGGGACAAGTTAGGTGACATTTGTACCCCAAGTCTCCATGGTGCTGAGTAGGAGCAAGGAAAGGACAGCCATAATCTGGATCTCACTTGAGATATGCGCTTGAAAACTCAGGTGGATTAAAGATGAAGGAATTATTGTACATGGCATTCCTCGCACACTCCAGAAAGGTTAACTCAACAAGCAGCATGGATCCCCATCTTACAGATGCAGAGACTGAAGCTTGGAAAAGCAGAGCCAGGCTGTTCTAGCCTCGAATGGGCATTGCATGGACGATCATGTAAAGGCAGGGGAAACAAACCCCGTCCCCAGTCCCTCATTCCACCTGTGAGTGAGGTACCTTCCTTCCCACACCAAACAGAGGCAATGCCACCAAATGCCAGGTGGTCAGGCAGGTTGGAAAGCAAAGCATGCAACAAATGGTACTCGGGTTTTGTACTACGCAGAGAACAGGCATTTGGCAAATGGCAGTGTGTCAAGCCACCTCTGCCCACCATCCTTCTCCTTGGACAGCCTGTTTCTTGCAGATAATGCACTGCCTGCTTTAGAGATCCTGCTAGCATCAGAGGCACAGAAGCGGCTGAGGGGATGGAGTAGAGCAAGCACAGAAGTCTGTAAGCATTCAGTGCTAACATACACAGCTGGGAACAAAACTCTGCAGTTCAGATCTCCCATCTATGAACAGGCCCAGAGGGCTAGCTCCTGTTTCACTCGAGCCTTGCAGAGGAGCAAGAGGAGGCAGAAGTGGGGTGTAGTAGAGGAAGAGAGTGTCCTGGACTTTGGAAACCTCCCAACTCACCCAGGAGGCCTGAACTACAGAATCTTTCTTCATTTTGAGACAGGGTCTCAATATGTAGCTCAGGCTGGCCTCAAATTCAAGTTCCTGCCATGGTTCTTAACCCTGGTCCTCCATTCTTAGCGGAGCCCAGACAGGGTCAGTTGGCAGTTACCAATCAATCCTCTCACCCAACAGGGGCCGACAAAGCCGAGAGGAGGCAGCTTTGCCAGGATCTGAAAGGTAAGGCACCTGGTGTAGGCCCTATGTCAGGCTACACCGAAGGAAGGGCAGGAACCCCAGGCTTCCGCACTCTCCACCTGCAAGGTTTTGGGTCACATCTTCCCAGGTGCTCTCCATCTCTTAGATAACCACTCTCGGAGGGAGGGAGGCAGAGCTCCGCTTCTCCTTTCACTTGGGCAACTGAGCTCAGGATGGCTGGGCCACTTGCTCCACCTCACACAGATCCTGGCTTCCTAATCCAGGTCTACTTAACACCAAAGTCACCGGGCAACAACCAGTACACCCAGCAGTAATTGCCAATTCTCCGAATGTCTGCCTTCCAACTTCCTGTGTGTGGGCCTCAGTTTCCCTAACTATGATACAGACGATACCCCATCTTCCCTGGCTAGGATCTATAATACTAAATACCCACAATTAGTTACAGGACCATTTCTACCTAGAAAATAGAAAACCACTGTTACTTAGATAATAAAAGTTCATTTGAAAAAAACTTGCCAGCTTTCCAGCATAGGATGGCAGTTATCAACAGAGCATTATTTTGCCCAAGGATGTTAAAAGCAAGGTCTTACTCTTCTCTGGGACTCACCATCAGCAGGATGCTGGAAGTTGATGTAGGCATAGCCCAAGGAGCGTCGGGTAGCCACGTCCCGGCACACACGGATGGACACAATTGTGCCGATGGGGGAGAACATCTCATAGAGCATAGCTTCAGTCACGTCGGGGTGCAGATCACCCACATAGAGAGAGGAGAGTGCGCAGGCCTGGTCACCAGGGTCCATGGTGTGCAGGGCACCCAGAAGTGGGTCACCGAGCAGCCCGAGCCTGCTGGGCACTGGGCCTGGCAATCGCGATGGTGGTCACAGCAGGGCTCTGCCGGTCGTCCTGTCTGACTGTCAGCTCCTTGCCTTTACCAGGACTGCAAGCCAATCCCGGCGCCCAGCCCCATCCACCTGGGAGTCCTCAGGCTGGGAAAGGCGCAGGTGGCAGTCATCGCCTACCTTGCCTAGGGGGAAGGCCACAGGTCAGCAAGGCTTGGGGCAGGGTTGTCAAGAGGAGTCGTGGGTGGAACTGTTTAGAAGACTTGAACCTCAGGTCATTCATTTTCTCTCTCTATAAAGTGGGGACCACTCCACTCTTGGGAACCATTAAAGGAGATGACTTTTTGAGGTTTCAGTGCAAACCAGAGAATTTTGTTTTTATTTTGGTTTTTCGAGACAGACTTTCTCTGTGTAGCTTTGGTTGTCCTGGAACTCACTCTGTAGACCAGGCTGGCCTCGAACTCATAGAAGTCCTCCTGTCTCTGCCTCTTAAGTGCTGGATTAAAGGTGTGTGCCAGCACCACTGGGCACAAACCAGAGGATTCTTACAGAAATACCGTTTCAAGGTTTTATCGTTTGAGACTGGGGAGATGGCTCAGTGGGTAAAGTGCTTCTACGCAAGCAGGAGGACCCAGGGTCAGATCCCCAAAGTCAAAATGTAATAAGTAGTAACGGTGATGGGCACCTGGGACCCCAGCCCGGAGGAGATGGAGACAGGTGGATCCCTGGGCTTGCTGGTCTCACCAACCCAGGCAGATTCAGGCTCAGCGTAAGAAAACTATCTCAAAACAGGTGGTGAGCTATAGATACCTCCGACCTCCGCACCTGCACACTCAGTCACGTGCACACACAAGCAGGTGCACACAAACAATTTTATCTTGCCTCCAGAGAAGCCTTCTCTCTCTCTCATCCGGGTCCAGTCTCTCCTTCAGCACTGAGGGTACAAACAGAACAATTTTGTGTCTGAAGGGACTGAAGACTGCACGTGACAATTTGGGGCTTGTGGGCTGTTACATGGGAAACCACAATGGGCTCTGCTTCTGTATCACATATTAAATGTGCATATTTTATATATTGATTATATTTAAACAATTATATATTTATATACTATACCTATTTAACTTAACTGTATTATGTATTTCCAAATCTGCTCTTTTCTGTGGCTCTCCAGCTCCCTCCAGTCCCCCCCACCCATTGGACCACCTACAGTCAAGCCTCTGAAGACAGCTCAAGGATGAGTTTCATCCACATTGCTCTGCACTCAGGCCCCTGGCTCCTCCCCTCCTCTCCAGTCTCTTGGCATCTGTATTCTTTGCTTTGCGGTAGCCACCATTACTGGCTGGTGACCTTAGTTGCTTGTTCCAGAAATCTACAGACGTGGGGGGCATCCTTTTCTGTTCCTTTTCCAGCTTGACTCTTTGAGTTATCAGGAGAGGGAGAGTCAGTGACTGGAGAGGATCTCAGCACAGCCTGGATGGCATTGGCGGAAGGGTTTGCAGACACCACATGGTATCATCAATGTGTGGACTGCCTTTGCAGGGCCAGATGCTGGGTCACCCTCACAGGTTAGGCCATGAGGCTCTCCACTCTATCCTTAACTGGAGAAGTTTCTTTTAGAGCTACTGAAGTGGAGCCAGCGGCAGATTCCAGCTGTGGCGATGCTTTGTCTACGGCTGGCAACAGTTGCTTTAGTGGTGGACTCTAGATGTCTGTCCTTTCCATGACTAGGGCCAGGATCCTACTGGGACAGCTTGCTCAGGTCGGCTCTGCCTAACCCCCATCTGCAACCTTCTGGAACTTCCTCAGAAGCCTCTAGGTCTTTTTTAAAGAATTCCACATGGGTCGCTCTCCTTTTTTTTTCTCTCTCTCCTTTAAAAATCAAGTTCTAAGGACTGGAAGGCAGGACACAGAAATGCCACTTGCAGAGGACCCAGGTTCAGTTCCCAGCACCCACATCTGTACCTGCAATTCCAGGGGTACTGATACCTTTTCCTGGCCTCCAGGGTCACTGCATGCTCATGATGGACGTACATGCATGCAGGCAAAACAGTCATACACTTGAAATAAAAGCAAGCAAGTCATTTTGTTTCAAAATCTAGCATCTAGACAGTCTTTTTAAAAATAATTTATTTAATTTTATGAGCATTGGCGTGAAGATGTCAGGTCGCAGGGAACTGGAGTTACAGTTGTGGGCTGTCTGTAGCATGGGGGTGCTGGGAATCAAACTCAGGTCCTATGGAAGAGCAAACTGTGCTCTTAACTGCTGGGCCACCTCTCCAGCCCAAACAAACAAGTCTTTCTTAATAAATAAAGATGAGATAAAAATGCATCAGCACCAAGGAGATATCAAACACCCATATCTGTTTTACATTTTTGTTTGGTTTTTGGGTTTTGTTTTGCTTTTCGAGACAGGATTTTTCTGTAGCTTTGGAGCTTGTCCCGGAACTTGCTCTGTAGACCAGGCTAGCCTTGAACTCACAGAGATCCACCTGTCTCTGCCTCCTGAGTGCTGGGATTAAAGATGCGTGCCACTACCGCCAAGCTGTTTTACATTCTTAGGCACAGACTATTAGAGATCTTTTTAAAACTATTTTTGTTTTAGCTTGAAGATTATTTTTTAAAACTTTGTGTGTGTGTTTGTATGTAGATATCTTTATATGAGCGCATATACTCATTAAGGTCAGAGCTGTTGGTCCCAAGCAGCTGGAATCACTAAATGTGGATTCTGGGAACCAAGCTCATGCCTTCTGTGAGGGTATATATATACTCTTTAATAACTGAGCCATCTTTCCAGCTTCTAGTTTTTACTTACTCCTTGACGATTTCATACATGTATCCAGTGTCTTTTATTCATATCCACTCTCACTCCCCTCCTGACTTCATGCCTCTCCCCCCACTTTCATAACCCACTGAGTTCAATAGTGCTATGAATATATGTATGGGATTGCAG